TTAACATCGATATAGGGTTTTTTGGACCAAGTCACTTTAGTAGTCGATATAAATAAAGCAAAAGATGCGAAATTTACAAAGAAAAGATGTATCGAAAAAAATGTATATAAGTGATTTTGCTAGAATATTCCTTAATTGTTATTGTTTTTTTTTGTTTTTTTTTCTCTTTTTAGCTCAGGTAATATTACGTAATATATTTGTTTATTAATTTATATTTTTGGAGAATGGAGGATCGACAAAACCGAACTCTTCCAAATTGTTTAAAAACAAATTTGTGAATTTGTATACATAATTAAAACATTTTATTAATATTAATAATTTAGCATAAATTTACCACCGCATAAACCTTAAAATGGCTTAAAATAATGTGTCCCTAATTTTGTCCGCGATTTTTGAAATTCCTCCCACTGTGCGACGCGACGTTTACCGATGCTTTAAATGTTGATATGCTAATTCCGACGTTATTAGAAATAATGCCATAAATGTTAGGACAGGAAAAACCGATATGAATTGTTTTTTTTTGGGAAAATTCAACTCATTTATGCGATCTTTTTATTAAAAAAGGAATTTTGTTTAATTATACAGTAGGCTTTAAAAATTATAGTACATTTGGATTTTATTTTATTTTTCTACTTTTTAATGTGAAATTATATATATTCCTTAAAGTGTTACAATGAATTATTCTATCACCGGATGACGGAATAAACACTGGTGGCGACATCTCTGTTTATTATCTAACAACTTTTAGACCGATACAACCTCACTTTCTCCCAACCAAATTATTTTTTCTACAACCAAGCGAAAAGTACAAATTTGCGCTTCCAAAAGAAAGCGTAAAGTTGCAGTTTTCCGAGGAGCGAGCGTTTTTTTTTACTTTGTCGCTCGCCGAGCGACAATGTTACTTTGTCACTCGATTAGTTACCATGGAAACCATAATATTTGCGACTTGACACAAACGTAAAATTTGAGGTTAATAATAATTATTAATTATTTATTTATTACCAAACATTCTTACAGAAACACCGGTTGTAGAAAAAATCCTGTGTGTAATTCGAGCAGTGACATTGCCGCTCTCGCGAGATAGCCAAACTTCTCGCTCAGAGCGACGATGTATCACATTGCATTCTTAATACAAAAATAGCTATTTCTATGGTATTTTTTGGAAACTTAGAAAAAATATAGTCTAAAAATTATTTGGAATTGCATATTCCGCTCTCGTGAAACCGTCAAACTCGCCTTCGGCTCATTTGACAAATTGTTTACTTGAGCGGAATATGCCGTATTTTCCCCAACTTGTTACAGAATATACTATTTTTTTTCGTGAATAATGATAAATATTATAAATTCCCTTACAAACAACGGAAATAATAAATTATTCACGTTTTTAGGCATCAGTGATTGGCCGAATTGGGTTTTAATTTGGGAGAAGGCGACTATAAAAATATTTAAAATTGGTAAAAATTAAGAATTATTTAATTATCTACTTATTGGAATATATAAAGTATAGTATTACCCCCGAGATTATGCGCATTTTTCTCTCGTATGATTTAAATCTCTCCTCTAGCGACTCGGGACGCAAACCTCATCCTCGTGAAAAATATTACCTCTCGTATAATAATATACTTTATTTAAGCAAATACTAAAAATCATTTTTTAATTAAAATAAAATATTATTTTTATTGAAAAAAAGAAGATATTTTTGTGCCTAATACATTAAAATAAATCCAAATAAAATTTATTTAAAGCCTTGTGTTCATACAAAATTATTTTTTTTAATAAGATCACATAAATGGGTTGAATTATCAAAAAAAGGGTTTTTAAGTTCGGAGTTTCATAACATTGTTTTGAATTATTTCGGAATTAGCAATAACTAGTAGCTAATTTGTATAAATGTTTCTGATAATTTTAAAGCATCAGTAACTGTCAAAAATTTGGGCAACTGATTTTGTTTAAATTTGGTTATACCTTTAAGGGACCTGAGCATATATCTCACGGTGTCCCTGAATAACTTTTAATTGAAAGGTTCAGACGTATCCGATTTTTTTTCATATTTTGATAAAAAATTACTTACAAGACAATTTTTTTCAGGATAAACTCAATTCGCTTGGCACTTTTTTAGAAAAATCAATTTTTATAAAAACATTAATGATTTTTAATCAATTTTTTAAGATTTTTAACTAGTGAACTCCAAATAATGACTAACAGCTTTTAATGTATTTGTTACATAAAATGTGCAATTCATTAGACTAGTGAACTATTGACATATGACACTTGTCACATGTCACATGTCGAAATCGGGATTGAAAATACCGTTGAGTTATTTTACAGTTTTTTTTTCTTCAATTTGTCGCAGATTTATTTATAAGCTAATAAAAAACCATGCATGGACTCACTCGGATAATCGCTAGAGAATTTGTTTGTTTTGTCTTAAAAAAAAATAAATAAAAAATGTTTAAAATGTGGAAAGATTCTGAAAAAACTTCAAATCATAGTTGTTTATGATGTAAAAGATGATTACCAAAAGTTGTATGCAAAGTTTGTAAAATTTTATTATATAAAGCAGCTAAACAAGAAATTTATAGAAACACGTTTAATTTGCCTGATTTTTCTAATTGGAATTAATTGGGTATAATTTTATAAAAAGTGTTAAAAATAAACCCTTTAAAAAAGAAAAAAGCGTATGGTGAGAAAATGTTTCAAATGTTTGTCAAGTATTGTTGGTGGCCGCGGTAAAAACATAAATGTAAACCTGGAGTAAAAGAAGAAAATATTGAAAACGATATTAGTGAAACTTTAAGTCCGAAACATCAGCAGCAGTTACTATCGCTCTTTCTTTTTTCTTTTTTTAAAAGAGCGATAGTAACTACTGCTGATGTTTCGGACTTAAAGCTAGGCTTTGAACTATTTCCAGAATCTTTCCACATATTTTAGACATTTTTTCTTTTTTCTTTTTTTTAAGACAAAACAAACAAATTCTCTCGCGATTATCCGAGTGAGTCCATGCAGGGTTTTTTTTTTAAACTTTTTTATTAGCTTCATTGCATATACTATAATAAATGCAATATATTTATATCTAATTTATAAATAAATCTGCGACAAATTGAAAAAAAAACGGTAAAATAACGCAACGGTATTTTCAATCACGATTTCGACAAGTGACATATGTCAATAGTTCACTAGTCTAATGAATTGCACATTTTATGTAAAAAATACAAATAAAAGCTGTTAGTCATTATTTGGAGTTCACTAATTAAAAATCTCAAAAAATTGATTATAAATCATTAATGTTTTTATAAAAATTGGTTTTTCTAAAAAAGTGCCAAGCGAATTGAGTTTATCCTGAAAAAAAATTGATTTTTTATCAAAATATGAAAAAAAATCGGATACGTCTGAACCTTTCAATTAAAAGTTATTCAGGGACACCGTGATTTTTTTTCTTTTATTTGAAGCCCAAGTCATTCAATCAAATATATAATAATATTCCTTTTTTCGATTTAATAATGGTGTTACTAAATAAAAAAATTAAAAATTGATTTTTAATTATTTTTTTATATGTAACAAAATAAATTTAATTAAAAAATAAATAATTTAAAGCCTTGCAATCTACTCTACTTTATATATACACAAAATTTTATTATTTTCATAAATAAAAAAGTTTTGTTTGATACAAGACTGACCTAGATTTTCCATAGTGCACGTTTCACACTTGAGCTAGTGGTCCCCCATATAAATTATGGCAAACAATATAAAAAATATATGTCCAGCTTATATCTTATTTGAAAATAAATAAATATGGTTTTCCCCAAAAATTTTTAATTTATTATGAGACGTCCAATTTCTGACGGCTGCTATTTAAATTGCATTATAAATGACAAGAATAACCTCGACCTTTACGTAAACGTCTATATTTACTTCTTATGGTGACTCAATTTAGATTAGATAAACTTATAAGCGAACACGTTTGACATAAATCATTATATAAAAACCAAGAATAGATTGTAATAACCCTTAACTGTGACGGGCCGTCAATTTGACCCATATACTTTCCTGATAAGTATATGATTTAACCGTACTGGACTGGAACAATATTACGTACGAGATTTCGATAATTCTGCAAGACTCTCTTACGAGAAGCGAGACGAGACTCGATACAAGACTTCTTATTTCTTCGGCGAGACGAGACGAGACTTCATGAAATTCTCTTCTTGTTGGTCTCGTGGGAATCACTAATCAGTAGTGGCTTTTATGATTTTTGGTCACAGGTTAAAGTTAGCTTTAAATTCGTTGACAGTGGTCATTATCTAAGTAAATAGAAAAATACAAACTTGTTAAATAGCTTCTTGACGACAATCTTTGAAAAGCTTATATGCACGTTTGTACTGACTCTTTGATTTCGTTGGCAGTAAACTTGTTTTTACCGATAAAGCATTACAAATTCCGAGTGCCTATAAAATATCCTCTTCACTTTTACTGTAACTGCGTCTATGTCGGATTTTAACTGTTGTTTGTCCATTTTCAAGGGAGAAATTTAGATTTTTACAGAGAAATATGACAAACTAACACTTCCATTTTGAAAGCCGGTAAAACAAATTCATAACATTAATAATTCTATTTTTTTATAGATATCGCTTCATACAAATATTTAAATTAATATAGTATTTGTCGTAAAAAATTTAGTATGCAACTCGTTTATAAACTTTTCTAGACACTCTACACTTCGCTAGTGTCTAAAATTCGTGACTAAAATAGTATTTATCAAACTTTATACATAATATACTCCAATAGGCAGGTACTTTAATATTATAGGCACACACCAAATTTGTTTTTTTATCCAGGTACACTTTTTACATAATACTTTTATATAAAAATATGAATTTCACTTAAGATAAACGAGTTGTTTTCTATAAAATTTGCAACTCGTTTTTGAAAGCAGATTGGTGAAATTTGGGTTTACTTAAATTAACAAAATGATTAATTATTTTTATCTTTTTATTTTTTAGATCAATAATTAATGGAACAATTTTAGTAGAAACTAATGAAAGTCTTATTTTACATAAAGATAATCCAAAAGATAATGGAAGTTTTTTGTATAAAACTCAACCTACTGTTTTAATTGCAGTTTTATTTTTAATTTTTGTGTTAAATAGTATATAGAATTATTAATTAAAATATATTAGGTCAAAATAAATGTGTTTTTTTTCTAAGCGTACAATAATTTTCATATTATAAGACTCATGAGTCCATATAAAAAGACTTCATTTTAATACTACACCTTTTCCAATTGTATTTCAGAAAGCGTCAAATGAATTTCAGAAACCGGCAAATATATTTTAGAATAGTCAAATGTACAGGGTTTACCATCGGCGACTTCTTTTTTCAATAGGGGCAAATTTTGATAATAATTTTGATAATATGACAGCTTTGACAATTACTTTTTTGACATATGTCAGTAAAACCTTTGCCATTTGTAAAAATGTCTTCAATTTCAATCGAAAATCGTATTAAAATCATCGAAACCTATAACGAAAATGGTTGTTGCGTGAAAACCACATATCGTAAAATTCGTGATATGTTTGGTCGTCATGGTCGGCTATCTGAGGACGCTATTAGGAATTTGGTGGATAAATTCAAATCTACTGGTCCAACCAACAACATACCAACTCCAATTCGTGTTCGTCCGGGTCGTTCAGCTGAAAATATCGCTCCTGTGAGTGAAAGTGTTGAAGAAGATCCAAATCTGTCCATTCCGCGGCGTTGTCAACAATTGGGCTTATCGACAATGACCACATGGCGAATTTTGTGTAAGGATTTATCTCTAAAACCTTATAAGGTACAGTTGGTTCAAGAATTGAAGCCGGCCGACCATTAGGTTCGTCATCAGTTCGCTAATTTCATTACTGAACAATGTGCTGGTTTTGCTAAAAAAATAATCTTTTCGGATTAGAAAATCCAAGGAAAGTTATTGAGAAGCCTTTACATTCTCGCCGTGTCACTGTTTGGCGTGCATTTTGGTCGGGAGGTGTGATTGGACCATATTTTTATGAAAATGAGGCCGGAAACACTGTAACTGTCAATGGATTGCGTTATCGGGATATGTTGACCATAGATAACAAAGATGTTGACTAATTATTTTTGGCCTATTATCGATGACATGGATGTGAGTGACATGTGGTTTTAATAGGACGGCGCCACATGCCACACTGCCAGACAAACAATGGATTTATTGCAAACCAAATTTCCAGATCGAGTAATTTCGCGTAACTCTGCAGTAAATTGGCCGCCTAGATCCTGTGATTTAACACCTCTGGACTATTTTTTGTGGGGCTATGTGAAAGATCAAGTCTATGCGGATAATCCGCTAACTATTGAGGTGTTAAACGCCAACATTGAACGTACCATTCGTGAGATAGAGCCTCAGTTATGCAAAAATATGATTACAAATTTTAACAAAAGAATCGATGTATGTAGGCGTACTGGGGGTGGGCATTTGAATGATAACAATTTATTATTATTATTCTTATTATTATATTATTTTTCATTAGTGAATAGTCAAATATATTTCAGAACGCGTTAAATATATTTTAGAAAGCGACAAATGTATTTTATAAAGCGTTAAATATATTTTAGAAAGCGACAAATGTATTTTAGAATGCGTCAAATGTATTTCAAAACGCGTTTTCCAATTGTATTTCAGAAAGCCTCAAATGTATTTTAGAATAGTCAAATGTAATTCAGAAAGCGTTAAATGTATTTAAGAATAGTGAAATGTATTTAGGAATTCGTTAAATGTATTTCAAAATAGTCAAAAATATTTCAAATAGCATCAAATGTATTTCAGAATAGTCAAATGTATTTCAGAACGCGTTAAATATATTTCAGAAAGCGACAAATGTATTTTAGAAAGCGTCAAATGTATTTCAGAACGCGTTTTCCAATTGTATTTCAGAAAGCCTCAAATGTATTTTAGAATGGTCAAATGTAATCCAGAAAGCGTTAAATGTATTTAAGAATAGTCAAATAAATGTATTTCGGAATTCGTGAAATGTATTTTAGTATAGTCAAATGTATTTCGGAATTCGTGAAATGTATTTTAGTATAGTCAAATGTATTTCAGAAAGCGTCATATGTATTTCAGAAAGCGTCAAATGTATTTCAGAATAGTTAAAATGCGCATTAAATACACTTCGCGTCAAATTTAACGCACCACTAAAAATTTGCCACAATTTTAACGTTGATTTTTTTGCAAACCGTCAAACCGAATTTGGTAGTTTTTGTTTTAAATTGTAGGTTTATTCTTTGGTTATGATGCCTTTATTAACATATTTTTTCAAATTTACGTTTTGAGTATATACAGGGTGCAAGAGTAATATTAACATTCCCTCCCATCACGTCTGTTATGATCGTTGGTTTCTTCAAAACGGGATATTGAGGTATGATTAACTCCCAATCTCCAAAATAGTGGTCGAATATTCCTAACCACGCGGTCTCCATTTTAGGTGTTCGTGATTTTCTAACGTACTTTTTGTTGACCTAGTCCTTGAATGGTCTTTAATTTGAAAACTCCTTAAAATAAGGGTAAGCTAATGTCAACGGATTTTGTAGGGTGCTAAAGCGGGTTCGTATTTCTTTTTAGGGTTTTTAAGATGGAGTATAGTTTTTATGTTGGAGTTTTTTGTAAGACTTTTTATGTCAGATTTGTTGTAAAGGAATGGTTTTTTACCCTGAACTTGTTTTGGATAATGGCAAGTTCTTACTTTACTGAAAAGCCATCCTGTAAAATCTGACATAGTGGGAGACTTTAACATCGGAAGCCAACTACGATCAGGTCGTACCAAATTTGAATATTTATGTTAAAGAACATAGCGTACACTACACTCCTTATCTGTTTGTGTACTTTTAAGTTGAGAGTTCAACATAGTTATTTTAAGTAAATTTTTTTGTATCATCAATAATATTTTGTCAGTTAATTTAGTCTATCAGACTTTGGTTTTTGTAAACCATATATGGCCTTATAAGGGTGCACCAAAATTATAGATCAAACAAATATTTATTATTACATGAAAAGTGTTTACTTCAACATCGGTGAAACAAATATATCTTTGATTTATTTTTTTTAAACTTGACTTTTAATAACCGCCCTTAATCTTTAGTAGGATTGTGTCTGACTTACTTGGATTTTAACAACTGGCCATAATAAGACACTGGCGCTCAATTTTATGTTGCCTTTATAAATTTAGTAAATATATTTTGTATACAAGTAAGTATCCAAAAACAACATTTGCCCATCGACCTATCTCTCCGCTGAAAAGCTGCCGTTCGCCATAGCCCTCGAGTTAAGGTTACAAGTTATATGCTGTTAAAGCTGGTACAACCCACAGGGCGTTTCAAATTTCCGCGAAAAAAAACTATTATCACTCGTGCACCCTGTATATACTCAAAATGTAAATTTAAAAAATCTTTTAATAAACGCATTATTACCGAAGAATAAACCTACAATTTAATAAAAAAAATCAACAAATTAGGTTTGACGGTTCGCGAGAAAATCAACTTTGAAATTGTGGCAAATTTTTAGTGGTGCGTTAAATTTGACGCGAAGTGTATATTTATCTACTCCCCCATTTATAAGCTGTGACTGACTTTATGGCGAGTGACTTTTGTGCATTTTAGTCACGGGCTAAAGTGGAAAGTGAGGTTAAATCCGACAGTTGACCTATGTCAAATTTTTAATAAATAAAATTGGCTTTAAATTTTTTTTGTGTTCGTCGTAGTTAAAGTATAGTATGCAACTCGTTTTATAAACTTCTCCAAGCACTCGTTTTTATTAAACACTCGCTCGCAAGCTTCGCTCGTGCCTAATAAACCTCGTAACTAAAATGGCGTTTATAAAACTTGATAATATTTTTTTTTTTTTTAATTTTATGCTATTAAAAAAATTACTGTATTTTGTTCAAACTTTATAATTGTTTTATGTACATATTATTTAAACTTTATAACTACAACATTCTCTTTTGGCGTTGGTTTTGGTACTAACCAAACAACAAACAGTACACTATTGCCCTTTTATTTTGGGAAGCCATTAAACGGTACACCCGTGCAATCATATTTTCCATGTAAACTGCTTAGAGGGCGTACTGGCTGCACCTAATGCCCTTTGTCTAATGTGCAGAACAACATTAACTGGACAGGAAAATATTTTAAGAAAAAAGTACCAAAAACATACAAACCTGGACAGAGAAAGGATTGTATATTCCGCCAATCGAGGAGAAGATCGGGTCGTGAATTGATGAACAAAAAGGGGAGAATTAAACCCAAGGCGCTTACAGAAGATCAGTTAAATAGGGTAATATAATGGTTAGAAGAAGACTCTGGTTTAACTTTAAAACAGCTTCAGACTAAAATATTGGCAACGTTTGAAAGGCAAATCTGCAAATTAAATTAAAACGTGAACATATTCATTATGGAAAACAAATTTTATGGATCAACGAGACTAATTTTAATCTTTTCTGCCGAAAAACAAGAGGTCGTGCTCGAGTTGGTAACAGAGCTGTTCAAATATTTCCAGCATCAAAAGGACCCAATGTTCATGTACTTGGAGGTATATCTGCTGCAGGTGTTGTTTTAATGGAGCGTCGCCGGGGATCTTTTACGGCAGATGCTGTAATGAGTGAATGGCAAGCTTATTGCAACATTGGGTAAATGGTGGTAATCATCTGGATGACCTTGCTATTGTTTGCGACAACGCCCCTTACCACTCTCGGTTAGAAAATACTATAACTGGGACCGGAGCAACTTTATTGCGCCTAGCTCCCTATTTTCCCATGCTCAACCCTGTTGAGAATATCTTGAGGTTAAGGCCTAGGTTAAATTGAATCTTCGAAATCCTCCTGTTGCAGGTTCTGGCGTTGGACAGCAACGTTTGGTCCACTTGGAAAATATTATAGATAATGCCAAGGATACCGTTGTAGGAGGAGACTGCGCGCGAGTTGCTCAGCATTCAACGGTTTTTCATGCTGGAGCTTTAGCCATGGAAGATCTACAAGTGGGGCTCTAAATACATACATCGGTACCTTAGAATGACAAGGTTCTAAGTGCAGCTGCATTGTTAATCGAAAGTGACTTTATTTACAATATTAAATGTTGCAGATAAGGCATTTTGCTTAACATGGCAACTGCACCTAGAAC